AGCCTGGGCAATGCAGCGAGAGCCCCCCATCCCTACCAAAAAAAATTTTTTTTAAGTTTTTAAAACCAAACATTACAACTATGAACCAATTTAATCTTCATAACAACCTAATGAAGTAGGTACCACTATTATCCCCGTTTTACAGGTGGAGATACTGAGGCACAGAGAAGTTAAGTAACTTGCACTTCACCACCAGCCTGTACTGGCCTGAGGCCTTTTCTGTTTCTTTCGTTCCTGCCTAACTTCTCTTGACATCCTGCCAGGGCCGGATGGAGGACAGGGCCAGACAAGCTAGGGAGGGCTGCCCAGAGCCTCAGTCTTTAGAAGCACTCAAGCACACCTGACATGTTAGGAGACGGAGCAGATTATACTAGGGCAGGGTGGGTGCCGGATGAGCTTGGAGGAATTACTTGGATAGTCTCGGGTGGAGAGTGAGACCCCTGTGCGGCAGCCTGAGGGACAGTGAGGATGCTGAAGACTGCTTACTCCTGCTGAGGAGAGGCCCTTGAAAGTGTGCCTCAGCCTCCCTAATAGCCGGGATTACAGGCACCCACCACCACACACTCAGAAGTGCCTCTGCACTGCATTCACAGGGCACAGTTCTGCTCTGGAAGGCAATGACTCTCCTTCTTCACCCTTCCCCTACGCAGGCCACGCTGGGGATTTCTACACTCGAACAGATAAAGACCCGAGACCATTGGCCTAAGTACCTGAACGTTATAAATCAAAAGTATTGTAAATGAAGCTGACATTTTTACATTTAAGTTTTAGAAATTTAATTAATCAATGAAATCATGTCCAAAAGATTTGTAAAACTAAAAATTATTCATGAGGCTAGCATGCAACCTCTAGATGCCCATGTAGAGAACCAGATTCAATTGGCTGGGTGTGGTGGCTCATACTTGTAATCCTAGCACTTTGGGAGGTCAGGGCAGCCAGATCATTTGAGGTCAGGGGTTCGAGACAAGCCTGGCCAACATGATGAAACCCCGTCTCTACTAAAAGTACAAAAATCAGCCGTACGTGGTGGCAGACGCCTGTAATCCCGGTTATTCGGGAGGCAGAGGCAGGAGAATTGCTTGAACCTGAGACACGGAGGTTGCAGTGAGCCAAGATGATGCCACTACACTCCAACGTCGGTGACAGAGCCAGACTCGGTTCAAAAAAAAAAAAAAAAAGGAACTAGATACAGGCTGTATGTGGGCACCATCTGCACACACCAGACACATACATTTAGAAGTAATAATGATGCAATATTGCCAAACGTTTCTCAGCAACCATGTGCAACTGTTGTAAGTACTGCTTGTTTCTGACTCAGGAGGATCTCGCTAACCACACGTTGCAAGAAAATAGACTTTCAGTGTTTGTGGCAAAACGAGTTTTTCATTGGCATTCATGCTGAAAGGAAAGAGTTAAAATGTTAATGTGTCTTTTTTCTTACCTGTAAGTTCAAGTTCACTCAAATCCTCTCTTGAAGCAGTGTCGGTCTCCCGTGTCTACGGTGGCATCATCTGTGACTTATCAGGACACTTGGAGCGGAGGGCAAGGCCAGGCACTGTGGTTCATGCCTGTAATCCCAACACTTTGGGAGGCCAAGGAGGGAGGATCTTGAGGTCAGGAGTTTGAGATCAGTCTGGCCAACATAGTGAAACCCCGTCTCTACTAAAAATACAAAAAATGGCCGGGTGTGGTGGTGTGCACCTGTAATCCCAGCTACCCGGGAGGCTGAGGCAGAAGAATCATGTGAACCCAGGGGGTGGAGGCTGCAGTGACAGACGGTGCCACGGCACTCCAGCCCAGGCAACAGTGCGAGACTCCATCTCATAAAAAAAGAGTGGAGTGCCAGATATAGAGATTGTTTCTTGGGCCTGCACAGTGTTGGTTGTGAAAGAGAATGATTAGTGATGTGGGTCCCACTGTGCCAGTACCAAGCACCAGATCCCAAAGGACAGAGGTACTGATCTGTTATTTAATAAACTGTTGTGTCTGTGTGGATGTGTGTGTGTGTGTGTGGTGTGGGTGGATGGGTGGGTGTGATATGTGGGGCCCTTTAAACCCCTGGGCCCTAATAGTCTATCGTGTGGTGCTGTCCCCACAGAATGCTTAGCTTCTCCTCAAAATACATGGTATCTGGACTGGGTGCGGTGACTTATGCCTGTAATCCCAGCACTTTGGAAGGCCGAGGCGAGGGGATCACCTGAGGTCAGGAATTCGAGACCAGCCTGGCCAACATGGCGAAACCCCGTCTCTACCAAAAATACAAAAAAAATTAGCCTGATGTGGTGGTGACACCTGTAATCCCAGCTAATCCCAGCTACTCAAGAGGCTGGGATAGGAGAACTGCTGGAACCCTGGAAGCGGAGGCTGCAGCAAACTGAGATCATGCCACTGCACTCCGGTCTGGGTGACAGAGTGAGACCCTGACTTCAATCAATCAATCAATCAATCAATTGATAAATGGTATCTGGAGTCTGTCCCCGTCATCTCACTCCTGGACCACTGCATCAGCTCCCACTGGTCTCCCAGGTTTCGTCTCCTGCCGTTTCCCTCCCCATTCTTCCCATGCAGACAGAGCGATCTTTCTGAAGAAGCAATCTGACTGTGCCTTCCAACCCTTTTTGAAATCTTTCAATTTCTCTCCATCACCTCCGGAGTCTAGCAAACTCCTCCGCCTGGCTTCCATGCCCTGCAGGCTCCGTCTCCTGCCAACCTCTTCAACATGAAGCCTGGTCACTCTGGTCCCATCACGTGCTCCAGCAGCACAGGCCTTTCAGCTCCTTGTTACATCCACTCTGTCACCTGCTCTCTTCCCTACTGATGACCCCAATCATTGTTTCAAGCCTCAAATGAGGGCAATGCAAATTCAAAAATAAACCGAGCTGGCAAAAACACATAAAAGCGAGAAAAAAAAGGACATTTCTGTTGTGACAAGGTTGTGGATAAGGAGACTCACTTGTGTGTTGCCAAATTGGCATTCGAAATCCCTAGTGCTTCTGGATTTGTCATGTTTGGGAGGAGGGTTTTTAAAACATCAGCTTTCTTGAGGTTGGATAAATAAAAGAAAATGCACACATTTTAGGTTTACAGTTCAATTAGTTTTTACAACTATACCTGTGTGTATAACGGCCACCACAATGACAACCCGGATATTGTCATCCACTCCAGCGTTCTCTCATGCCCTTTTGCAGTCAAATTGCCTTCTTTTGCCCTTGGCAACTACTGATCTGATTTCCAAAATCATAGATTCATTTGGGCTATTCTAGAGCTTCATATAAATGGACCCGTACTGTGTATAAGCTCCTTTATATCTGGCTTCTTTTGTTCAGCATAATGTTTTTGAGGTTCATCCATGGGGTTATATGTGTCAGTAGTTCAACTATTTTTATTGCTAAGTCATATTCCTTAGTAAGAAAATGCCACATTTTTATTTTCCATTTTTCTGCTGATGGGCATTTGGATTATTTCTAGTTTTGGCTATTTTGAACAATGCTCTTATGAACGTTAATATATAAGACTTTGTGCATGGGAGGTGCTTTTCTTTCCCTTGGACGGGATGGTAATTTTAGAAGGGAAGTTGCTCACTCTCTGACACTTATCATCAGAGGAAACATCACACTATGAAATGCTATTAGATGGGCTGGGAGTGGTGGCTCAAGCCTATAATTTAGCACTTTGGGAGGCTGAGGTGGGAGGCTCGCTTGAGGCCAGAAGTTCAAGACCAGTCTGGACAATATGGTGAGACTCTGTCTCTACAATTTTTTTTTTTTAATTAGCTTGGTGTTGTGGTGCATGCCTGTAGTCCTAGCTACTTCAGAGGCTGAGGTGGGAGGATCACTGGAACCCAGAAGGCAGAGGTTGCAGTGAGCCAAGATCCTGCCACTGTATTCCAGCCTGGGTGACAGAGTAAGACCCCATCTCAAAAACAAAAACATAAAACGATAGAGTAAGTGAATGAAAAGTTATGCATCCCTTACCCTTTTAATTAATTATGTATTTTATTTTGGCTCCATCACACAGGCTGGAGTGTACTGGCAAAATCACTGCTCACTGCGTGAAGCCCTGGGCACATGCAATCCTTCAGCCTCAGACTCCAGAGTAGCTAGGATTGCAGGCACACAGCACCAGACCTGGCTAATTTTTAAATATTTTTGTGTAGAGATAGGGTCTCACGGTGTTGCCCAAGCTAGTCTTGAACTCTGGTCCTCAAGTGATTCTCCCACCTTGGCCCCATTAAACTTTTAACTACAAACTACATGGAAACATGAAAAAGTATTCATAATGAAATGAATAGGAATGCAAAATTGTAACCATGCCATCAGAAGTGGTTACATACTTTCTGAAAGCATTTATTCGTACACATAAAGGCTTGACGGGTGGGGTAGAAAGGCAAATGGGGTAGAAGAGCAATGACCAGCACTTCCAGGGCACTGGGTACACACTGTGGAACGAGTGATTCTGGCACTGCTCCAGGATCGGAGGTGTATTGGTGAAAGAGAAGCAAGATGCCTGCTCGGATGGGGGGAAACAGGGAGATCATTTCCTGTTTTAGATGTTGGGAGATGCTTCACGTAATAAACTGACTGGAAACAGACGTTTGACTTGGATGCCCCTTTTTGGAAATGTGCCTGCATCCAGGGCTGGGTTGGGGCCCCACTGAACTTTGGCTCTGACACAGCTGTTGCCACACTCTGTGTAACTGAATCCATGTTTGCCTTCACCCAGCACCCCTCCCCCCAACTCTCCCCACCACAACACACCCCATGCCAGCCTGGTGACTCTGGAAGGTGGTTTCATCATTTGGCTTGCGGCTGGGTCCCACCGAAGTCTTGGCACTCAGTGGGATGGGAATTGAATAAAGGCGTAAGATTGCTGAGCGGGAGGCCTCTCTCTTGAAATCTACAGACTGACATGTTTACTAACGGGGCTGCAGCCCTGCACCCACCTTGGCCTTGGGCCACCAGACTCTAGAGCTTTTGTAACCTCTCCATGTCAGGAACTCAAATTAGACCTGGGGTTGCAGGCTGTACCCTCAGCTGGCCTTTGGGAAAAGGTTTTGTGCAAGGCATTTCCCAAGTGCTGACAGGATTGTGTCACAGACACAAAGCAAACTTTTGTTGGGCTCCAGGTGACCACCCACAGGTTATTATAAAGGTGACTGCACCCTCTGGCCACCAGCACTGCCTGGCTCCACATGCCCCCTGGTCTCAACATGGCACTGCCCTGGGTTCTTACAGTCCTGAGCCTCCTACCTCTGCTAGAAGCCCAGATCCCAGTGTGTGCCAACCTAAGACCGGTGCCCATCACCAACGCTACCCTAGACCGGGTGAGTGCCTGCGCTAGCCCTGCCCTGTGCACGTGGGCAGCTGCCTCCCTTTCCCTGCTGGCTGTGGTCAGCCGCCTGCTCCTGGCTCTGCCCTTTTCTTTGCTGGGTCCTTGGGGTAAAATTCTTACCAGCCCAGGGAACTCTGGAGGTACCCCCTGCCTCCAAACTCAGAAACCTCACTGCAGAGTCCTTTGCAGAGGACAATTCTTTGCTGGGCCTGGAGTGGCTGCCCAGGGGGAGTGACTGATCCTCAGGGTGAGCTCCTGCATGCCTGCTCCCCACCAGGGGCCTCATCTCCCCATTTGCAAAATCAGGGAGATATCTGCCTGAGTCTCTTCCTGGCTGACAGTTAAAGACTCAGCATCAAGCCCCCATCACCACTCCCACCTTCTCCCTAGATCTCCGGCAAGTGGTTTTATATCGCATCGGCTTTTAAAAACGAGGAGTTCAAGAAGATGGCTCAGGATATTCAAGCAACTTTCTTTTACTTCACCCCCAACAAGACAGAGAACACGATCTTTCTCAGACAGTACCAGACCAAGTGAGATCCCCCATTCCAGCCCACCCCATCTCAGCTTCTGACCTGAGCAAGCCGCTCCTTCTTCTGGCCTTGGCCTTTCCATGGGTAGACCCGGGAGGGCTAGCTTTAATCTCCACCAGACTCTTGCCCCTGGGCTGCGATGGGCGATTGTCCACTTCTCCTTGTTAATTGTACTGTTTTCCTTCTGTTTTCTGTTTGGCTTTAGCCGGAACGAGTGCATCTATAACTCTAGCTACCTGAATGTCCAGCGGGAGAATGGGACCATCTCCAAATTTGGTGAGGGCCAGCCCTCAGGCAGGAGGGTTCACCGTGGGAACAGGGCAGGCCAGCATAAATTGGGGGGTGGGGTGGGTCTAGGGTCCTGGAGACTTTGGGCACAGAGAAATAATCACTAACATCTTTGAGCTCTTACGATGTGCTCAGAAACAACTTTAAGAGGACATTGGGAGAATCACATGAGGAAACAGAACAGAGACCTCAAATAGCTTCCCTGAGGTCACACAGCTTATAATCAGAACTGGAATTGAAACTCCAGGCTGGCTTCAGACCTGCCTCTCTCTCCCTCTTTAAGATGCTTTGGAAACCCAGGGTGGAAGCCTGTATGTTGGCTAGGTGGTGCCTTCAACTCTGTCCTCCCATCACCACAGGGGTGGCACATAGCAGGGAGCTGATGGAGCTAAACTGACACTGTTTAGCCGCCTGAGCCTCCTCCCTGGGCCTCATTTTCCTCATCTGTAAATAGGGAGAAAGGCCCTGACTGCCACAGTCTGTGTGAGGCTCCTGTGATCCTATGTACAGAAAGTGCTTGGCGTGGAGCCTGGCACACAGTGGGGTTGGGCACACAGTGGCCCAGGGGAGCCCAGGCCTTCACGGATGGGCTGTGTGGGCCTGGACACACCTAGGCCTCCTCATCTGTAAGGTGGGCACCATTGTGCGATCCCATGTTCTCACCCAGAGGCTCTTTTTTCTCTTCCAGTGGCAGGACAAGAATATGTCGCTTACCTGCTGATCCTCAGGGACACTAGGACCTTCATGCTCGCTTTTGACGTGGACGATGAGAAGAAGTCGGGACTGTCTGTCTATGGTAGGCACGCTTGGCAGCCCCAAGTTCATGCCCCACCTAAGCCTCGCCCCCCATTCACCCACCCCTGGGGCTGGGCCCCCAGAACCCCAGCCCTCCCTGCCTCTCACCCAGGCCCCACTGCATCCCCACTCAGTCTCCTTACTCTTCCTGCAGCTGACAAGCCAGAGACGACCAAGGAGCAACTAGGAGAGTTCTACGAAGCTCTTGACTGCTTGCACATTCCCAGGTCAGAAGTCCTGTACACCGATTCAACAAAGGTAAATGCAAGGGATTGGGCAGTGCCCACTTGTCCATGGCCCACCTTGGGCAGCCTCAGAGCCCCGGAGGGGGAGAGCTGCCAACCATGGCTGCACAATCGGACAGATCTGCTTTTAGGCACCTGCCTCACTGTAGGAACAGCTGAGCTCTACAGACGCCAGGGGTGGTGGATGAGAGCCCAGGAGGGAGAAGTCCCTGGGAAACCAGGGCGGATCTCAAAGCTAACAGGAGGAAATAGTGTGAGCCAAGGTGGCAGGGGTGGGGGGGATTGGCAACTGGAGGAGACACAATATGGGGAGTTACCACCTACAGACGCCTCCCAAACCCCGGGCTTTCACCCCATCTCCACTCCCTGCTCAATTCTTTTTTTTTTTTTTTTTTTTGAGATGGAGTCTCACTCAGTTGCCAGGCTGGAGTGCAGTGGCAGGATCTCAGCTCTGCTCTCGGGTTCAAGCGATTCTCCTGCCTCAGCCTCCCAAGTAGCTGGGATTACAGGCATACGCCACCATGCCCAGCTAATTTTTATATTTTTAGTAAAGACAGGGTTTCACCATGTTGGCCAGGCTGGTCTCGAACTCCCGACCTCAGGTGATCCACTCACCTCGGCCTCCCAGAGTGCTGGGATTACAGGCATGAGCCGTCATGCCCAGCCCCCTGCTTATTTTTAATACCTGTGCAGTGGGGAATTGATACTGCGGTTTTCAGTGTCACCCGCACTGCAGCACGGCCAGAATCACCATCCCGATTTTTGCTACAAATGCGAATTACTGTGTAATGAGCTCCTTAACACTTTTCTTTAAATCTGTGTTTGAAGTCTTGCCTTGGTGTGGCCCCGTGCCCTAATATCTGTGAAATCACAGTGCCGATGAGCTGGTTCCAGGTTTTAAAACATACACATGCAGTACTTCCATGACTATTCAAAGAAAAACAAATTCCACCCATTTGCCACCTGAGAGCACCACCAGTGGTGTGACCTGCCCCCCCACCCCCAGCTCCAGGATCCTGGGACAGGGCTTAGAAACACAACCACTGTAGTCAGCTGACCCGATCCACAGCCTGGCACCCGTGCTGTCTGGCTTGGGAGCCTCGAATGGGCTCCATGGCCACCCTGAGCCTCAGTTACATCATCTGCATAGTAGTGGCGGTGGTGAGGAATTCAGGAGATGCAGCTTAAGGGTCCTGCGGGTCCTAAGTGCTCAGTCAATGCCCGTGGTTCTTAAGGGTCTGAGCCCCCATTTTAGAGGCAAATAAGCTGAGGCTCAGAGACAGAAAATGACTTGCCCAAGATCACCCAGCTGGGAAGTGACAGTGCCAGGGTTGGAACGCTGGTTGAGCTGGTTCCACAGGCCAGAGCTCATTCTGCGTGCCCCTCCCAGAAGACCTCCCACCCTTTCTCCGTCCCTCTGCTTCCCCCTCACCCCACCCCCTCACTGCCTTCTAGGATTTGTGTGAGCCGCTGGAGAAGCAGCATGAGAAGGAGAGGAAACAGGAGGAGGAGAAGTCCTAGCAGGACACAGTCTTGGATCAGGACAGAGACTTGGGGGCCATCCTCCCCCTCCAACCCAGCACGTGTACCTCAGTTCTTTCCCTCACTTGCATCAATAAAGCTTCTGTGTTTGGAACAGCTCAGTTGTTAGTCATTTGTTCATTCATTCATTCTGAAGCCTGCCCTGAATTGGACCCTGGCTGGGCACTGGATAAGACGCTGTCCCTGGTGGAAAGAGCCTCACATGTGCCAGGACAGATGATGACAGGCACCGAGTGCTGTGGGAGGCCAGCATTGTAGGAAGATAATTTCTTCTGCAGGGTGGAAATCTGGAAAGACTTCCTGGAAGGGGCATCTGAACCAATCTAGAAAGATAAGGAGCATCATACAACCTGCTGTTCCTGTGTACAATGTGTGAAGATCAAATCAGGGTCATGAACATTTTCACCTCAGTTGCCATTTCTTTGTGTTGGGAACATTCCATATCACACAGTACCTATAGATATGTACATTATGTGTCCATTTAAAGTAATACAAGCAAAGAAACATAGCTTTTTTTTTTTTTTTGAGACAGAGTCTTGCTCTGCGGCCTAGGCTGGTATGCAGTGATGCAATCCCAGTTCACTGCAACCTCTGCTGCAAGCAATTCTCCTGCCTCAGCCTCCCGAATAGCTGGGACTACAGGCGCGTGCCACTACGCCCCACTAATTTTTGTATTTTTAGTAGAGATGGGGTTTCACCATATTGGCCAGGCTGGTCTAACTCCTGACCTCGTGATCCGCCCGCTTCAGCCTCCCAAAGTGCTGGGATTCCAGGCGTGAGCTGCTGCGCTCGGCCCACACATGTGAATTTCTAAACGGAGACTACTGTAAGGCCTTTCTCCTAACAGCAAGATTGTAATAAAACTTTAGTCATGAAAAAACAAAAAACCTTTCTGTTCCTCCTGCAAGCAAGGAAATGAGAGGATGCATTTGAAAAACCTTGGGGCAGAAGACCCTAAACAGGAGTGGAGGTGTGATATGGTTTGCCTGTGTCCCCACCCAAATCTCATGTGGAATTGTCACCCCCACGTGTTGGAGGTGGGTCCTGGTGGAGCTGATTGGGTCATGGGGGTGGTTTCTAATGGTTTGGCACCATCCCCCCCCAGTGCTGTTTCTCATGAGGTCTGGTTATTTGGAAGTGCGGAGCACCTCCCTCTTCGCTGGCTCTCTCCTGCTGCCTTGTAAAGAAGGGACTTGCTTCCTCTTTGCCTTCCACCATGATTGTAAGTTTCCCAAGTCCTACCAGTGGTACTTCCTGTTAAGCCTGCAGAACTGTGAGTCAATTAAACCTCTTTTATTTTTTTTTTCATAAACTACCCAGTCTCAGGTAGTTCTTTATAGCAATGTGAGAACAGACTAATCCAAGGTGGATGGGGTGGGGAGAGTTCATGGCATATGGTGCCAATCATAAGGACTTTATTTCACTATTACCATGACCATTGGGGGGCACATTGGGGGACCAGGCTGGAGGCAGGAAGGCCTAAGTGAAGGCTGCTGTGGACATCCAGTCCAGAGGCGGTTGCCTGGCCAGGCAGGGCAGGGAAGGGTTAGAGTGATGGAGAGGACTTGGGGCCCAGGCCAGACGGGCTGGGTGTCTCCATGGAGGTGTCCTCAGGATGCCCACCTGGGAGGCCCAGAGGAGGCAACACTTAAGGGTGAGGCCAGTCCCTGGAAATCAGCTGACATCTTGCAAATGTAGAGCCCCGAGGTGGAGCCAAGCCCAAGACAAGACCCACTCAGTGACACATGCCACGAAGGGCTGGCCTCACCCAGACCTCGGGGCTCACGATGGACAGCCTCTTGTTACGTGAGGGAAGCAGCTCCCTTCCAGTGGCAGAAAAGTTGGGCTGAGTTGTTGGAGCAATTCTGCGTGTGCAGCTGCCTATGCCACCCAGGGTGACAGGACCATTAGCCCAAAGCCCTGACACTCAGGGGTCCAATCCTGTGTCCTCAGGTACCACTCCCCTTTGTATCTCCTGTCCCAACAGCCAAGCTCCACAGGCCCAAGACCCCAGCACCCTTTGCTCAGCACCCAAACCACTGCTATGTCCACAACACGGAGGCTAGGGATGCCATGCTGATGTCCTCAGAATGCAAGTGGACAAAGCAGCCTCTGGGGCCCCAGAATGGCCTGAAACTGAAGGTTCAGAACGTACAAGAACATGGGGGTGGTTTCTGATTCTTTAGCATCATCCCCTGAGTGCTGTTTCTCATGAGATCTGGTTGCTTAAAAGTGTGTAGCCCTTCCCCCTTCGTGCTCTCTCTCTCTCTCTGTCTCTCTCTCTCTCAATCTCTCTCTCTCCTGCTGCATTGTGAAGAAGGGACTTGATTCCACCATGATTGTAAGTTTCCTGAGGTCTCCCAGCCATGCTTCCTGTGAAGCCTGTGGAACTGTGAGTCAATTAAACTTCTTTTTAAAAAATAAACTACCCAGTCTTTTCCATTTCAGTATTACCTTCAGTGAGACACCATTTTCAACCCTACTGAGGAGGATCCGCTGAAAAAGGAAACAGAAATGAGTCGTGGTGGGCAGGACAGGGAGAAGCGAGGGAGGCGAGAAGTGAAGCTGGAAGGAAAACCCACAGAAAGCAGCAGCAGGAGGTGAAGAGAAAAAAAATCATGGGGGTATAGGAAGCAAAAAACACACATTACAAAGAATGTGGACTTTGGACTCAGACCAATGTGAGTTCAAACCCAGGCTCTCTCCCGAACCAGTCTGGGCAGATGGCCCAGTGGAACCTCTCTCCTCATCAGTAAAAGGGGGGACATGGTAGGGTCTTGAGGGCTAGCATGTGGGCTGTGTGAAGCAGGACAGGCCCAGCGCTTAGCACAGGGATCAGGGGCTAGGAGGTGCTCCCTAAATGGCAGCTGCTGTTCGCTGTTGAAGGAGCACTGGGGAGAGTCAAGGTCCACACTCTCGTAGATGCCAACCCGACGTGAGCCTCATGAACATCTCCGGCCTCAGTCAAAAGGGACTTGGCTAGGCAGCCCTACCTCAAAGCCCTCTGCAGCTGAAAGATTTATGATTCTTAGATACGCAGATGGGAAACACTGGAGAAACGGACGCCACCAGAGGGAGGCAGGCAGGCACCCAACAGGTCTCCTGGGAAAGAGTTGGGCTGGGCATCAAATCTTCCACCCCATAAACTTGACTTTAGAAGGCAAAAGGTTTTTTTGTTGTTGTTTTTTGTTTTTTAGATGGAGTCTCACTCTGTCACCCAGGGTGGGGTACAGTGGCCTGATCTCAGCTCACTGCAACCTCGGCCTGCGGGTTCAAATGATTCTCCTGCTTCAGCCTCCCGAGTAGCTGGGACCATAGGCACATGACATGATGCCCGGCTCATTTTTCTACTTTTAGTAGACACAGGGTTTCACCACGTTGGTCAGGCTGGTCTCGAACTCCTGACCTCGTGATCTTGTCACCCTAGACTCCCAAAGTGCTGGGATTACAGGCGTGAGCCACCATGCCCAGCCTAGAAGGCAAAGTTAATGACACACACCACAGACACACATGGCTCTGGGTATTTTTTTGTCTTCTTTTCTTATTTTAAGATCAATATTCATTCTTCATTTGCCCTTGTAACGAAAATAGATTTTTAAATGCCTCAAATATACAAACATCATTGATGCACACACATTCCAGAAATGCAGAGGTATGTGCTGCCATGGGGTGGGGGTGCGGGAGGCGGCCTAGCCTTATGGCCACAGACCGTACCCCAGCCCAGGCCTGGCAGGTAGCTGGCCACTGATAAATGCCACTGGGATCCTAGGAGAAGCTGGGGACCTTGCATGAGGTACTGAGAGGGACTACAGTGGACGGCGTCCTGGGTGCTTCGTAGCTTGCCTCCATCCCAGCAGGCCCACGGGGAAGGCCTCTGCTGCCATGGAGAAGCTGGACGCATGTCAGCCTGGGGCTCTGACATCGTAAAATGCCCCACTGACTGCCAGTCACTAGGAGAAAGGTCTCCAGCTGTGCCCTTCCAGAGGTGCTTGCCCCAGAGTGACTGGTCACATGGGGGACAGGTGTGCTCCAGAAACCGTACGCCTTTCCTTTCTTGTCTGGCCTCCTAAGGAGGACCCAAGATCAGGAAAACTCCCCAGTTTAAAAAAATATCTGTCCATCTGTATATAAAATGCCTATTATTAGCTGCAGGGGGACACGTGCAGGACCAGGAGAGACTGTCAGAGGCTCTGCCCGGACGTAGGCGGGCCTCGCTCACAGCACCTCTGTGAGGGGCAGGTGCTCCTGGAAAGTCACATCTCTTGGTGATTGAGCTGGCACCCCCTCCACTCGGAAAGCACAGGGACTGAGCAGGCGGGGTCTGTGCTGGAGGGATACTCTCCTGGTGAGAAACTATGCGGGCCTTCCGGGCCTCAGCAGTTCCAGCCCGCTCCTGGCCTGGCGGCCACCTGCCCACCCACCCACTCATCTGTCTCTGGGCCCCCAGTGAAGTCAGAAGAGGCAGGAGCCCTGCAGGCTGTGAGCCTGGCGCAGGTCGGCCGACAGCGAGCGGCTCATCTGCCTGGTGGTGGAGCGGACGCTCTCGGCAGCCTGCACGGCCCGGCTCAGGGCCTTGTTGAGCTCCTCCAGGTCGCCCAGGTCGAGCTGGATGGAGTGCCGGTGCCCCCGGGCTGGCGGGGGAGAGGCTGTGGGGGGCCACTCGGCAGCTGGTCGGGCTGAGGTAGGTCCTGCGGGCGCATAGTACCTGCAGGGAGAAGTGAGTGGGTTCATTACACGTGGGGAGGCTGGGAACGAGCCGAGGAGCACCGCGTGTGGGGTCAACCCCCTTCTACATCCCAGCTGGGCCGCTGGGCCCTACTCTCTGGGTCTCTCAACTTCTCTACCTCTAAAATGGGAATAATGGGCACACATCGAGGGATTTCTTGGAAAGATGAAGGAAGATAACAACACGTGTGCCTGACCCAGAACAGGTGTTCCAGGACAGGAAGTTCAATCCACCTGTTCATCTCACAGTGACTGACCGCCCATCTAGTGTGCCAGGCTCTGGGGTTACAGTGGGACGAGAAAACATGGACTCCTGCAACCTTCTTGGAGCCGGATCTTGGGAAGCCCAGGGTCACCCCAGGCTTGACAGCAAAGTCCCCTCATTGGAGAATATCTGGGAGTTCCATTTGCCAAGCATGGGGTGCTGGAGAAAGGCAATAATAATAATAATAGGAATTCTGCAGGAGCGGGAGGGTCTGGCCCCAGGTATCCTGGGAAGGGAGGGGAAGGGCATCCTTCCCAGCCCAGTCCTACAGGAATGTGGGGTGCGGTTTTAAAGTGCTGTGGGAATGAGCTGACAAGCCTATTGAGATGAAGCACAGATTTCCTTAAGAAATGGCAATGGCATCTATCAGGGCCACTAAGTTTAGGGTTCCAGGAAACCAGCAGTGGGAAGAGGGGGTGTGGCCTCTGCATTGTTGAATAAAGCATGTGTGGCGGGGGGGGGGGTGATAAAGGGGCACAAGTTTAGGAGGCCTTGGCGGAGTCACTCACTGGCATCTCACTTGGCACACTGTGAAGTCTGGCTTTACTCCTGAGCACCCACTTTCTAAGTTACACTACTGTCCAGTGTGTAACAACAGATGATCCAAACAGACATTCCTCCAAAGGAGACATTCAAACAAATGATACACACGTGAAAAGATGTGCACCATCAGCCAGCAGGAAATGCAAAGTGAAACCACTCCACACACCTAAGCTGGCTAAAATCAAAAAGGACAGATAGCGACCAGTGTTGACAAGGGTGTGGAGACACTGGAACCCTCCGCACTGCTGGTGGGAATGTAAACGGTGCAGCCACTGTGGAGGACAGTCTGGCAGTTCCTCCAACAGTTAAACCCAGAGCCTAGCCCAGGTACCCATGTACCACCTGGTGCCTTCATCTTTGTTTTACAGATGAGCATAGTGGAGCTCAGAGACGCTAAGTGAGTCAGGAGGCAGAAGAACATGACGGCCTTAGCAGCTCAGGCCCTGGCGGCCCACCCCAAATGCCAACCATTCTGCTAGGCTAGCCATGTGACTCTGGACAAGCTAAGTCACTTTGCAAGGCCTCTGTTTTCCCACCTAAAACAACCACAGTTAGCAACCTCTCAGTTCAGAGCCCATGGAAAATTCAGGTAAAAAGCCTGGCACTTCCAGGCCACGGTAAGTGTTCTATAAATGTGAGCTCCTAAGACCCAGGGTCAGAGAGCTGGAAGGGGCAGCCATGGGTTCGCACCCAGCCCTGACTCTCCCTGTATCTCTAACCTGTGCTAACTGGCAAGCAGCAGATGCTGATAAAAATAATCTGAACTGAATGAATGGGCTTCCCCGATCCCATAAACAGCAGCCTGCACTCCTTCCTCTAGGGATAGTCTGGTGTACGTAACTACAGAGGCTCCTCAAATTACAGGGGGGTTATGTCCCTATAAACCCACCGTAAAGTCGAAAAATCATAAATTGAACCATTGTAAAAGCGGGGACTGTCTGGACTGGGTTCTCATACACCCCCACCTTCTGTTAATTTGATGGCCAGCTTGGACTGAAAGTTACCCAAAACTCTCCCCTAGGGCAGACACTGAAAAAGTCCCTCTGGGCTGGAAAGCCTTGGCTGCAGGGCCTACGGGGCAGCTGCCCAGCAGGGGGCAGCACAGGCCCACTCCACTTTCCAAACTGCACTGGCCTCAGCCACGGAGCCCGCTCAGTCCGGCTGACCAGCAGCTGGAGAAACTTCAGGATGCCACCAGCCCACATTCTAGCAGCATTAGAAGCACCATTGTCATTGGCCAACTTCTATGTATTATGGGCTTTCCATGCATTAATTCATTCAATCCTCACCACAACCCATTTTGCAGAGGAGGAAACTGAGGCATAGGTATAACCCACCCATCCTAACTTGGAAACAGCAACCTGGTTAGTTCTGCCTACAGGCCAGAGCCTGGAAGAATGTGGAATGGGGCCTCGGGAGAAGTAAAGACTCCATGGTGAATTCCAGGCAAAACCTTTCCCACCCAATGAGTCAGAACATGGGCAGGTGCTCTCCCCCATGTCTGCTGGAGGTCTGGGCATGCGGCACGGGGCCTCAACGTTGCTGGAGTGGAAGATCCCTTAAGTACTTGCTCAGACTCAGCTGAGAGGGCAGCAAGAAAGGACATTTACAGACCAGGCGTGATGGCTCGCGCCTTGTAATCCCAGCTCTTTGGGAGGCCGAGGTGGGCAGATCACCTGAGGCCAGGTGGTCAAGATCAGCTTGGCCAAAGTGGCAAAACCCCTGCTCTATCAAAAATACCAAAATAATTAGCCGAGTGTGGTGGTGCATTCCTGTAGTCCCAGAGGCTGAGGCATGAGAATCACTTGAACCCAGGAGGCAGAGGTTGCAGTAAGCCGAGATGGCACCACTGCACTCCAGCCTGGGCGACAAATCAAGACCCTATCTCAGAAAATATACATAAATAAAAAAAATTTTAAAGCACATTTATAGGCCTGGTCCCCGAATAGAGAACAGGGCTGGATGGTGCCTGGGGTCCCTGCTCCACCAAGCACCAGCCCTCCCCGTGACTCAGGCCCTCACTGCCTACACTTACAGGCTTCCGGCAACACAGGCACTGAAGGTGTCAGTCCCAATCGACCCATTTCCCAGCAAGGGAAGCAGGCAGAGAAGCAGCTGCTGACAGCTGAAGACAAGAAGATAGATTTCCTACTTCCGGGGTCTGGGTTTTGGTCCCCTGCACAATCCTATCATCTTGAACCCAGTTTTACTCCTTTTTCTTCCTATTAGTGACCAGGCTGAGCAATAGCAACATTCTCTGGGATGGCAAAGCTACTGTGTGCTCAGCAGGGAGCACGTGCTCACCCGGCACCGCAGACTCCACATACATCTCATCCAGCTCCTGCCCTGTGCCGCACTCAATCCTCACACACAGAATTAAATACACGGTTCAGATTCTTCCCCCATTTAACAGATGGGGAAGTTGAGGCTTGGAGAGGAAGTGACTTTGCCAGGGCCACAGTGCTACTAGGGGGCAGATGGGACTCCAACGTCGCTCTGGCCAGCTCCAAACTCAAGCCACTACCGTCTTGGCTTCCCTGCCTCTCCTGGCTTGACTGACGTTATGTCCAGAATCTATGCAAAAAGTCCTACAATATACCCGACCAGGACTCCTCAAAGCTGTCCACGTTATCAAAAACAAAGAACTGTGGGAAACTGTCACGGCTGAGAGGAGCCTAACAAGGCATGACAATCACACACCATGTGGGACTGTGGATGGGATCTTGGGATAGAAAAAGGGCTTTGGAGGAAAACAGAGGAGGCCTGAATAAACCATGGACTTCAGTTTCTAATAATGTATGAACAGTGCTTCACTGGCATAGCCAATGTGCCGATGTAAGATGTTAACAACAGAGGAAACTGTGCAGGAGTGAGGAGGTGTGTGGGAATCTCTCTAGACTAGCTGCTCAATTTCCTTATAAATCAAAGCTGTTCTAAAAAATAAAGTCTACTTAAAAAACAACAGTGGTCATCACTTACTTGCTGAGAAAACCCACAAGGAAAAGGGAAGATGGTTAGGATTCTCAGTCTCCACAAAGTTAGAAGCTCCCAGAGGGCAGGGCCCTCCCTCTTCCTGGTTCCCTTCACTGCTGGTCCCAGGGCTAAGCACTCTCCTTGGTACTTGGGTTTGTTGAGTGACTATGTAAGTGCTGGGCTCCTGCTGCGTATTATCCACGCAGTAATAAAACACAGGAGGAGTGCACTGCATCTCAGCCGCCCCACACAGGTCCGAATGCTAACATATTCAGTGAGCTATACAAAGGGGCTGGGAAGGTCAGAATGAAAGGCTCTTACACAGCGGCTGGTGGATAAGGCATGACAGGCACCGAGGAGATGTAGGCAAAGGCCGGAGGGGCTGGTGCTGGGGGCGCAGCCGCCAGGTACCACAGTCCAGAGGGTGGGCATGGCGACAACCCCGCCTGCTTGCCCCTCTGCTTGGGGCTGGGAGTTGATGGTGCTTTTCTTCTCGTGGTGGCCTTCTCTGCCCCTACCAGGGAGGGAAGAGCAGAGAGAGACAGTCTGACCACTTGGCCAGATGCAGCCAAAGATGCAGGGTCCACCCAGCCCTTCCCACGTGAGAGCCAGACAGGCCCTCCCCTGTGAGACTCCACGCTGGGGAGGCCTCTCTTTGGGGAACAAATCCTCTGCCCCGATTGCTCTGTCCCAGACGGGGAGAGCAGCCGCCCCAGCTAAACTCACCCAGGTCCCCAAACCCTGGTCAAGGAGAGCTGAGGGTCTGGCTAAGAGAAGAAATGAAGCGTTTGTCCCTACCAGAGGTGGCTGAGCCTGGGCCATCTCCGTCCGGGGGAGACCCAACTCGACCACACAGGGGACACTGAAGGGTATCAGCAGGAGGTGGTCCCAGTGGGTCTCCTGTGGCAGCACCGCCTGGAAGAGGAGGGAGAGATGTCAGGGCAGGATTACGTCTACATCATCAGATCGGTCTTCTGCAGTGGACTCCTCGGGTCCACTGTGGAGGGGACAGGCTGCCTCCATCTGGGTGATGATAGTGACCACAACCATGACAGTGAGAGCAAGCATTTGACGAGCCAGGCCCTCTCATTATTTTATCAAATCCTACAAGCCACTGGGCTAGCTACTGTCTTCCTCCTCCCCCCGCCAACTTTACAGATGGGGAAACTGAGGCTCCATGACATCAAATAATTTGCCAAGGTCTCAGAGCTGGGAAGCAGTGGTCCTTGGATCGTAAGCCTGGGCTCTCCCAAATGCAGCCCACCTCCATTTCCCCCTACCCACAGTAAGACAGACCCATTCTCCACCTGTCAGGTTCCCAGAACACTCCTCGGGGGAACCAGGGATGTTAGTAGAGGCCTATGGGAGCAGAGGAGAGTGGGCACCATTGTTCTCTTCCCACACAAATCCCCAGTGCCACACCTGGGTGAGTTCCAGGGCTGCTCTGTTTCTCTTTCATGCCTTGGCTCAACCACCACTCCTTCTGGGAAGCCCTCCCACCCCGCCAGGCAGAGTCAGGTACCCCCCAGCCCTGCTTGTGTTCGCCTATCCCACCTCTGGCCACTCTGCCTTGTGTTCCTGGGGGACAGGGCCCAGGGCCCCATCGGGGTGGGTGCTGAAGGAATGAATGAATGAATGCAGGACTCTAATGCTACCACAGGTAGGGCATAGTGGTAAAGAGGTGGGGCTCTGCAGTCACAAAGACCTGGGTTCAAATCCTGTTTCCACCACCACTTGTAAGCTGTGAGCTGTTGGGCAAGTTACTTAATCTCTCTGAGCCTTGCTGTCCTTGCCTATAACATGGATATAATAGTACTGAGTACTTACTTCACAGAACTGTGAGGGTTAATGTATGCAAAACCCTTAACATGACACCCTCTATACAGAGGGACTTAATAAACAGCAGCTTGTTATCATCAGTCATCATCATCACCATTGCTTGAAAAGGCCTAGAAACCATCTCTTCCAATCCTTTCATTAGAGATGTGGTGGCCAAGGCACAGAGAAGTCAAGGAACTGGCCTAAGGTCACACAGCAAGTCAGTGGCAGAACTGGGACTAGAAGCCATTGCCTGAATTCTCTGATCGCTTGGGCAGATCCAGCCACTCCTCCCTGTGGGCTTGGGGGAAAGTATGAGGGGCGAAGGGAGGGTGGAGGGGAGAATAAGACATAATCACTGACGCCAGTTCCCCTGCTGCCTAGAGCCCATCTATCAGGACCCTTCGGGAACTTGTTAAATCAAGGAGGTGGCTTCAGGCAACAGCGCCTGGAGCAGCAGATGAGATGACAGGACACCCAGAAAAATCCTGTTCCCTGGTCTGTCCCTGTAACCCACCACTGAGTTCAGGGCAGGCCAGATCTGGTCCCGTGCACACTTCCCTGAGGGCAAGAAGCTGCAGTTGCGGCTGCCTGGGACAGATTTCCAGGTACCATTCCTTACCTGCATTCTGGGTCCTGACGGGCCGGCAGTGGGGACAGGAGACTGTGCCATTGCCTTTTGGGACCGCCTTAGGGGACAGAACATGGTATTCGTGGCCTGGGGAAAGGAATCAGAACTGTCAGTATCAGCCCTCTAGATGATGCAAAATCGAGGAGGATTCTGGAATAATGATCTTTTTCCTCTTCCTCCAAATGGTTATAATAGTCTCTGTGTCTCTCTCATGTGCGCACCTGTGAGTGTGCATACACACATCATGTGTAAAATATGTATATATATGAGTATGACTGACATACATATACACATATATGTCACCACACATTTTTGTGTCTGTTTATTGCAAGCTTTTTCCAGATGCCTATTCTGTTTCATCTCAGATCCCAGAGCCAGATGACATCCAGTAGCAACCAACACACCCAGGCTAAGTCAGGACTGGAAGGCAGGCCAGGAAGAAATGATAAGCAAAGCAACAATAAGAAATTAACAAGTGATGCTGTTCCCCACACCCCAACTTGCTGGTTTGGATCTAATGGCTCGGGCATGGGGTCAGTGGCGTTTTCGCCTCCATGCTGAGTGGCCGTAATGTGTGGATAAACGTAGCGCCCATTTCACAGGCCTGTAGGGAGGACTGAATGGGGCCGTATCCACGCCGTGCTCCGCCCAGTGCCTGGCAGATGTAAAGCACTTGATGTTATGAGAAAGCTGGAGGGACTGTGGCCTTCTCACCCAGCCCCACCACCTCCTGCCTATCCATCCCTGAGCTTTAAATAAGGCCTTCTACGTGACACCTGAAGCCACGGTGGAGAGGTCTCATCATCTCATTTCCCTCCTGTGCTGTTCTGGCTTTCTGGCACTGAAGGTCATTGCTATTATTTTCCCCACGCAACAGATGTGGAAACTGAGGGTCAGAGAGGCTCACAGCCACTTTCTGTGAGACTGACTTCAGAGTCCGGTTTTGACTTGTATACTGTCTTCCTCTCATTGTGTTAGAAGCACTTCTCCAGGTTGAGCTCACCTTTAAGGGTTGAGATCACCTTTAAAGGCTGCGCAAAACCTCATCCAACGACATCATCTCTCTTTCCTTTTGCTAGTAAATCCACAGAGAGGTTGTCCGGTGAGCTGGGAGGCGCTCCTGCAACTCTTGCTTCTAACTCCTTGGCCTCTGTTGACTCCCTCACTATGCTCCATGGAGCCGAGATGTGCCTCTGCCTTCCTGCCTTGTCCCCAGAATCTGAGGTCAGCAGCCCTCCCTCCTCCGCAAGGTGTCAGTGAAAGACGTTGCCTTTACCATAATTACCTATTGGTTATCGTCTTCTCTGCTACACAGTCAGATTCATGAAGGTGAGAACTATATACATATATATATATATATATATATATATTTTTTTTTTTTTTTTTTTTTGAAATGGAGTTCCACTGTCACCCAGGTTGGAGTGCAGTGGTGCAATCGCAGCTCACCGCAACCTCTGCCTCACAGGTTCAAGCAATTCTCGTTCCTAAGCCTCCCAAATAGCTGGGATTACAGGTGCCTGCCACCACACCCGGCTAATTTTTTTGTATTTTTAGTAGAGACAGGGTTTCGCCACATTAGCCAGGCTGGTCTTGAACTACTGATCTCAGGTGATCCTCCCGCCTCGGCCTCCCAAAGTGCTGGGATTACAGGCATGGGCCACCATATCCGGCCCATATATATTTTTTTTAAATGTTAAGCACTTGAAATGCTACCATTTGTCATCTCAAGTCTACTCTGCACCAGGTGCCGACTTCCTGAGATACAAGTGCCCTCTGGAAATGAGAACTTGAAGGAAGCCAGGTGTACTCAATGGTATATGCAAATGGTATACCCAAGTCAGGGTCCACCCTGTATGCTCTGAGCTGGGAAAGAGCAGGTGATCAGAAACTAATTTAGGATCGACCAGCTGAACAGGCTTCCCAGAACCAAGCGTGGGCCGTAGTGAAGGGGAGGCATCAGAAAGCGTTTGCTGAATGAGTGAATGAATGAATGAATGAATGAACAAATGCGCAGAGATTCATGAAGACAATGCTTCCTGCTGGCTTTTATATCATGGAACAGACAGAAAATGATATTTGAATGACCCACTGGGCATATGGAAAAAGCTTCTCATAACAGAGGAGACCTCCGCCCCCACCAGGGGCTGCACCCATCCCGGCCCTCCCTCCTGACCTACCTGTGTATTGGCCCCGGAAGGTGACCCTGTCTGACCATCCAGCACTGCCACCCCCTCTCTTTCTGTCCCGCGCTGCCCGTGGACTGTCCTCAGTGGTCCTGCTCTTCTCAGAGAACAGTGGCCGGGGGGGCAACTCAGAGTCTGAACCTGGGGTGGAAAAAGTAGGGCATCAGAGGGGGCAAGGGGTGGGGGTCACATACCTCAAGGAGTGGGTGTATCATGAGTTCAGGCTCTGGGGCGGATGTCTGGGTTTTAATCCCCAATCTGCCCCTTAGGAGTAACAGCTGACATTTCCAGAACCCTGCCCCCATGCCAAGCGCTAGTCTAGACACTGTGTGTGCTGTGTCGGGTGCCTTCACAGCAATCCCATGAGGTGGACACTTTATAACTACATGGTGAGCTGTCCCTTTAACTGCTCAGAGCAGGTAAACAACTCGGCCAAGGACAAGTGGAGGGAGCTCGGCTGATCCTGGCTACTGACTCCAGGGCCTGGATCCTTCAGCACGTCCCCCCTACTCCCTGGGCTTCGGCATCCTTATCTGTGGAATGTGGATAATATGACCATCTTGCAGTGGAGGTTAAGCAAGATGGCAGCTACAAAGCCCTTACAGACACCCTGCACACAGTAGGTGTGCCGTATATTAGAAGTGCACTGTGCTGGTGAGGCGCGATGGCTCACACCTGTAATCCCAGCACTTTGGGAGGCCAAGGTGGGCGGATCACCTGAGATCAGGAGTTCAAGACCAGCCTGACCAACATGGAGAAACCCCGTCTCTACTAAAAATGCAAAAATTAGCCAGGCCTGGTGGCACATGCCTGTAATCCCAGCTACTTGGGAGACTAAGGCAGGAGAATCACTTGAACCCAGGAGGCGGAGTTTGCAGTGAGCCGAGATCGGCCATTGCACTCCAGCCTGGGTGACAAGAGCAAAACACTGTCTAAAAAAAATTGAAGTGCACTGCGCTTCACAGCACTATGATATCCTAAAACAGATGCACAAAAACCCTTCTCCAAGTTTCCTTGAATGCTGTTGCTGTGGTCCCTGACCACTGAGCCAACATGCTCAGACTGTGGCCTCCAGAAATCGGCCTTGGCAGGTGGTCACTTACTCAGGGACAGTCGGGGCACCTCCCGAGGCACTGAGGAAGACCTGGCTCGCCGCCTTCCTGCGGAGACCGTCTGCTCTTCACCTCTAGGCTCCCCAGACAATCTCTCTGTGGATTTACTAGCAAAAGGAAAGAGATATGTCATTGGACGAGGTTTTGTGTGGCCTTTAAAGGGATTTGTGAGAAGCTCAGCCTGGAGAAATTCTTCTAACACAATGGAAGGAAGAGTATAAAAGTCAAAGCCAAAGACTCTGAAGTCAGTCTCACAGAATATGGCTCTGAGCCTCTCTGATCCTCAGTCTCCCCATCTGTCAAATGGGGATAATGAGAGCAATTACCTCAGAGGGTTATGAAAAGATGAATGAGAAAATGTTCATAAAACTCTTCATCGAGTGCCCTCCCATAAAAACACTCAAAAGAAGCCAGCTGATTTTATGTTATTGTCATAAATGAACCAACACCAAATTAGTGGGTGAGAGGGTAGGCATCCTGGCAACGTTCTAACTCTTTGGCTGGGTGGCGGGCCCGGGGATATTCATTGCATTGTTCTCTATTGTTAACACAGAGGTTTATATATTCTTCTGTGCATCAAATCCTCCACAGTGAACAAATGGAACAGTGAATGAATGAATGAGTGAATGAGTGAGAGAAGGATGTGACAGTGCCTGAGTCCATATGTCTGGGGACAGCCAGAGGCCAGCCAAGACTATCTTCCATGGCTGCCACCAGGACACAGAGGTAGGAGTTTTGAGGTCACCCACCTGCCATAATGGGAGCCCCAGGGGGCTGGGGAGTCCGCTGGCCGGCCGCGGGTCCGGGTGGGGCGGTCAAAGGCAAACGCTGGGCGAGTCGGGCTATCCTGGGGTGCCCGATGCAGGCTGTCCTCCAGCCGCAGGCGGAGCCGGGACACCTCCTCTTGCAGCTCGCGGATGGCCTGGCTGGGGTAGGAGTGGACACAGAAACAAAGAACAGAGGCATGGGGAACCGAGCTGCAGCCACCCCAGAGGGTGCCAGGACGCAGCAGCCTCTGTCCCGTCCCAGCAGGCACAGGGTCTAGCTCTGCTGCCAAATGATTCTAGAACTTTCCTGTGCAACACTTTTCTTGCACACAACTTGACATCCTTTCTGAGTTCATGTCCCTGTGCATTCAGTGAACAGAACAGAACCTCTGAAGTTTCCCCTGCGTGACACACAGGGTCTGAATAGCTGTCCAGAAACACCAGTGACAAATTCCTGAGCTGGAGCTGAGGACGCAGGAGAGAGAGGGCCCTAGCTACAGTTCGCTGTAAAACACCAACCTTCACTCTCTGTCCAGGTGCAGCTCCTTTCCCTACCACTGTGCAAGCCCGTCCCTCCAGACCTAGCAGAAGATGCTTGTCCACTGTCTCCCCGTGCAGACAGTGAGCTGCCAGCAGGCAAGAAGGAAATGGTTTCCTGTCTGATAACCCCTGAGCCCCTGCACCTTGTGGGCGCTCAGGACACAGTACTGCAGAGGATCTGGGCTTTGAGAGGGAGCAGAGTAGAGCGCTGTGCATGGAGAGCAGACAAGGAGACACCTTGATGCTTCCTAGCCCCACCTGTCCCAGGAGGGCTGACTGAGAGCAGGCTGGAAGCTGACTGCAGGGCTGTAGTAAATCCTGGTGAAACTCCCAACGTGGTCCTACCTCCAGCCGCCAGCATTTAGGGAGTAAACCCTGTTTGCATTTCTCTCCAGTCAGTCCCTGCATCTCCAGGGTCTCCTTTTGTGGGCATCGCTAGGACTGCAGCAGATAATCCTAACCAGACACCCCTCCCCACAAGACTCCTTCTCCCCAACATGGAGCAGCGTTAGAGCTTCAACCTCCAAGCTGATGCAGGTTCCACATCTATCCCTTGGTCTGGGGTGGGAATTCCCATTGGGGCCGTTCTTGCCTGGTGGCCCCTGGACTGGTGGGTGAGCGTCTCCTGGTGCTGTCTCCAGCAGACATGAGCACTCAGATGAGTGTGTCAGAAGGAGTGGAGGCCTCTTTCTGGCTGTGCCCTAGCACTGAGCGTGTGTGTTCAAGGGCAGTGGGTTCCCTTGGCAATCCCCAGGGAGATGCCTGCTGGTGTTTCTGAGACAAAGCCGTGAGGGCAAGGGGTGGGCGGTGGCTACTGGAGAGTGACATCTCCCCGCCCCCAGTTAACCCCTGCAAGGGAGAGCTCCGGCTCCCAGTCAGAAGGCATTAAAAAAAGGCTCAGTGTGGTGGCTCACACCTGTAATCCCAGCACTTTCGAAGGCCGAGGTGGGTGGATCACCTGAGGTCAGGAGAGCAAGACCATCCTGGCCAACATGGTGAAACCCCCTCTCTACTAAAAATACAAAAATTAGCTGGGTGTGGTGGCATGTGCCTGTAATCCCAGCTACTTGGGAGGCTGAGGCAGGAGAATCGCTTGAGCCTGGGAGGCAGAAGTTGCAGTGAGCAGAGATCGTGCCACTGCACTCCAGCCTGGGCGATGGAGCGAGACTCTGTCTTCAAAAAAAAAAAAAAAAAAAGGCTTACCAGGCCAGAGCATGAGTCAGTCACTTGGGTATCTCAGTCTCCCTGATTTAACTCTTTAGTTTCTTGCTGAGTGCCAGCTGGCACTTAAAATTCATCTTTCTTGGCAAACTTACTCCCCCGCCTCTGCACTTGGCATCAGCATCCAGCTAACCGGCCAGACAGAAATCTGAGCCCCTCTAGACCTGCTCCTTCCCTGAACGCCCCTGAAGTTAATCAGCTACCAAGTGTCATGGGCCCAACTTCCAAAATATCTCTCCCCAAATGAATCCCTTCTTCCCTCTGCAGGGACCTCCCTAGAGAACCCAGACCCCGTCATCTCTCTTGGATGAGGCAGCCTTCTCAGCAGATTCTCGGCCTGTTCTCACCCTGCTGGTGGACAGAGAACTCTAAAACATCAACCTGCTCACACTACTGCCCTGCTTAAAATCCCCTTCCCTGTCCTCACAGCCTTTGTGCCCTCACGGAACATGCAGTGAACGTCTCCTCTTACCCGTGGCCTTCAGGCAGGATCTTTCACAGGTCTCTCCTACCTACCCCTCTCTTCCTTTACTGCCCAGCACCCCACCACCTCACACTAGAGGATCTGGCTGACCATTTAGCTCCTCACAGGTGATGGGCACTCTCTCACCTCTAGACCTCTGGACATGCCATTCCCTCTGCTGGAGATACTCTTCTACCTCTCTTCCTTCTGATGTCTGCTGAGATACCACTTCCTCCAGGAAGCCCTTCCTGAAGCCTCTAACTGGACTAGATGCTCCTTCTCTGTGTTCCCACAGTCCTTTAGTCCTCTGCCATCATGGTACTCATCACAGTGGGGGTGCCACTGCCTGTTTCTTCGTGTGTCCATCCTGTAAGATGGTAAGGCTTACGAGGCCTAGGACAGAGTCTTGTCTACTATTGTATTCAAGACTCTGTCCAAGGCCCAGCATACCATAGAGAAACAAGCCTGATGTCAGGGGAGGCTGCAGGGGCAGACTTACTAAACTCAGGCAAGGAAGCCAGATGCCAGCAGCTGGACACAACTTGGCACGTGGGCAACATGACAGCCTCGTGACTGTTCGGGCCAAAGCAGCCTTGGCTGGGTCACCACCAAGCAGTCTCCCCAGCGCATCCTGAGATATTCACCCCCTCCCGCAAGGACATGTGAGTGATCATCGACCAAAAGCAACTAAGAGGAGATGTAAGAGAAGCGACCAAGCTATTTTACCATTTCTGTTCAACCAAGGAAATGGAGCTTTCTTAGAAAAAACACACATGGACCAAAAAAAGAAAAGAAAAACTCAGAAGGCAGTAGCTTCTTGGTTCATACAATCAATGTGCAAGTGGCAGAAGAGACACCCCTGGAAAGGACAGGCTTATCTTGGAAGGGAGATGACGGGGAGAGAGGGGAGATGATTCAGCACCAGAAAGGTGACTGTTTAGGTCAGTTTCCACTGGCTGGAGAAGTGTCCTTGATGCCTAGTCAGTGAGGTCCCACAGAAACCGCCGGGTGCTGGGAGGCAGGACACCTGGGCCCACATGGTCCCACCACCAGCAGCTGTGTGAGCCGGGCAGGTCTCTACCTCCACCCCTAACACTTCACATCACACTCCCATCTGGATGATGAGCTTGAACCCCCAGGATCCAAGGGTCTGACTTACTCTCGCTCTGCCCTGTTGAGTGGGAAGTTGGGGATGGTCTCTGTTGGTCCACGGGGCAGAGGGGCAGCGGCTGGGGCAGGGGCTGGGGGTGGGCTGATTGTCTTGCTGGGAAGGAGCTGTTCAGAAATCTGCTTATGCCCCTCAAACTCCGAGCCAGGAACCACTAGGAAGGCAGAGAGAGAACCCAAAGTGAGTTTAAGCAGAGAGAACTTCCAAGCTCACACTCGTGCAGGTGGAATGACGGGGTAAACGAAGCGGCAGTGCCCAGTTCAAGGTCACAAAGGAAGCTCCCGATGAGGCCAGTGACCCACACTGACCTCCAAACCAGATCTAAATTTTGCTGGGAGTGTGGGTGCTGAGCTGGGCCTGCTCTGCTGTTTCTAACCAGAACCCCTCCTCCCACCCACCATGACACCATCCAAGTCTTCAGGAACTCCCCCTGCAAAGAATTAATTGCTCCTTCACTTGGGTCCCTAAGACTTGATCACCTTACCATGTTGTTCTGGGGCTGGCTTCAGAACCTCCTCTGAAATTATAGTCACCTTTTTCCATGTGCAGTATGCGTGTTTCTGGGGAGGGCATTAATAACTTTTAACCAATCTCCCAAAGGGATGGGTGAGCAAAGGTTAAAAACCACTCATCTGGCCCATGCATTAAAAGCAATGAACTGGCCAGATACGGTGGCTCACGCCTGTAATTCCAGCACCCTGGGAGGCTGAGGTGGGAGGATTGCTTGAGCCCGGGAGTTCGAGGCTAGCCTAGGTAATATAGAAAGATCCCATCTTGGCCGGGCGCGGTGGCTCACGCCTGTAATCCCAGCACTTTGGGAGGCCGAGGCGGGTGGATCACGAGGTCAAGAGATCGAGACCATCCTGGTCAACATGGTGAAACCCCGTCTCTACTAAAAAAATACAAAAAATTAGCTGGGCATGGTGGCATGTGCCTGTAATCCCAGCTACTCAGGAGGCTGAGGCAGGAGAATTGCCTGAACCCAGGAGGTGGAGGTTGCGGTGAGCCGAGATCGCGCCATTGCACTCCAGCCTGGTAACAAGAGCGAAACTCCGTCTCAAAAAAAAAAAAAAAAGATCCCATCTTTGCTGCAAAAAAACATTATACAAAAAAAAAAAAAAAATTAGCTGGATGTGGAGGTACTCCCCTTTGGTCCCAGCTACTTGGGAGACTGAAAAGGGAGACTCGCTTGACCTAGGGAGGTCAAGGCTGCGGTGAGCCATCATGGCGCTACTGCACTGCAGCCTGGGTGACAGAGCGAGACCCCATCTTAAAAACAATACATGAATTAAAAATAAAAGCAATGAAATCCTTGGAATATTACTCACCAATATATAAAGGAGCTAACTATTGATACATAGAATAATCTAGGTAAATGTCCAGAGAATTATGCCGAGTGAAAAGCCAATCCCTGGGGTACTATGTAATCCCAGGTTACATAGTGTATGATTCTATTTATAAAACATTCTTAACATGATGACATTATAGAAATGGAGGACAGATTAGTGGTTACCAGGGGTTAAGGACAGGCTGCAAGCAGGAGGGAAGTGGTGCTGTGAAAGGGCAGCGTGGCGCTCCTTGTGGTGATGGGACATTCTGGATCTTCACTGTGTCATTGTCAACATCTGGCTATGACATTGTATTACAGTTTTGCAAGATATTATCATTGGGGGAAACTGAGCAAAGGCACATGGGATCTCTGTGTATTATTTCTTACAACTGCATGTGAATCTACAATTATCTCCAAATAAAAAATTTAATTAAAGGCTGGGCTGCTCTGCAGGTCATTTATAAAAGTACAGTGCAGGCCGGGTGCAGTGGCTCATGCCTGTAATCCCAGCACTTTGAGAGGGCGAGGCCGGTGGATCACCTGAGGTCAGGAGTTCGAGACCAGCCTGGCCAACATGGTGAAACCAAGTATCTACTAAAAATGCAAAAATTAGCTGGATGTGGTGGTGCGTGCCTGTAGTCCCAGCTACTTGGGAGGCTGAGTCATACATGCTGTCTGTTGTTGAACAAAACGTTGTCATGCAGTGCATGAGTGTGTGTAAATAAACACACATTTACATCGGCACAGAAAACAGCTAGCTCACAGGTTCTACACCAAAACGTCGGCACTAATGGTTTCCAGGGTATTTTTTTTCTTTTGTTCCCTTTTGCCCACCTTATCTGTAATTTCAAATTTCCGTACAAGGGACCTGGCTGATATGTTATATCCTAAAGGGTTCCGCAAGTTGTTCTGTTTGATGTTTCAATCCACACAGTTCTGGCCAGGCCAGACTCCTGCACTCACCCATCTCTGTGGCCAATGCCCGCTCCAGGCTGCAGTTGGGTACCCTCTGAAGGAGAGGCCCACTTGGGCAGGAGAGATGCCTCTGTGCTCGGCTCCGGGGTGTGCTGGGCTCTGTGGCTCTTCTGGGGACCAGAGAACCCCTGGCCTTGGGGTAGGAGGCTCCATCCCTGGGCACAGATGCGGTGAAGGGCTGGGCTAATGTCCCTGCTGTGCTGGGGGACCGTGGAGGAAGCGACACACGGAGGTCACACAGAGCGAGACGCTCAGGTGGCATCTGAGCCCCTCCACTCGCTAACCCAATGCACTCCCACCCTTTGTGACTTCACATCCCTGGTGGTACCCTATTTCCAAGGACACACACAAACATTGGATGCCCATTTCTTTGTAAACTGTACACTGGCCAACCAATATGCAAAATAATAAAGCTCAATTTATGTTTAGAATACATAAAGACATAAAGAGAGGCCGGGCGCGGTGGCTCATGCCTGTAATCCCAGCACTTTGGAAGGCTCAAGTGGGCAGATCACGAGGTCAGGAGATCGAGACCATCCTGACCAATATGGTTAAACCCTGTCTCTCCTAAAAATACAAAAATTAGCTGGGCATGGTGGTGCATGCCTGTAGTCCCAGCTACTCAGGAGGCTGAGGCAGGAGAATCACTTGAACCAGGAGGTGGAGGTTGCAGTGAACTGAGATTGTGCCACTGCACTCCAGCCTGGCAACAGAGTGAGACTCCAACTCAAAAAGAAAAAAATAGGACTTCTAATCCTTCCTTTTCATGTACCCTGGGGCTGCCACGTGGGCCTCCTGAAGGGCCTGCACCCAGCTTTGGAGGCTCCATCCCTCTACCCTTCAGCCCTGTCCCCTCCGCCTTCTCCCTTCCCTTTGGGTTCCATGTAGCCACCCTGAGTGCCCTTTGTCCTCATCTT